CCTTGGTCTGACTCCTGGATCCCTCTCATTTCCACATGACCACGCTACTCAACCCAGAGCTCTGGGGCTGCCTCGGATGGAAACCCAGTGGCAGCTCCCAGGCGCTATGCAGTGAGTGTATCTTTATATCAGAAAGAGACACCATCCTAAGGCCATTTCACATCTCAGAACACACCCCCCCACCTCCCGGCAGCTGCTCCCCCAACTGCTTGCATGTGGGGAGCTTGAGAATGAAGGCCATTTGATGCCCGGAAGTAGAACTAACCAGCTCAGAGCAGCTGGCATGACTCCACAGTCAGGACAGGGCCCTCTGGACTGGGTCCTGAATGCTGGTTCCTAGTCCCAGGGTGGTCACCCTGCTCTTGCCCAGAGTGCCCGAAAGTCAGTAGCAGCCTTGGACCATGGCCGGGCAGGCAGGGCTTCACTGTCCCTCCCTTCAGTCCAGCCGTCACCTCTCAGGGGCAGCTGTTTTGAAAGAGTCTGGCCCGGGCTGGCACCAGGCCTCAGTCTGGACAGATGCTGCAAAGCAGGGCACGGCAGGTCTCTTGTCATCTGCTTTTGCCATCAGGCGCTGAGTTACAACCAAAGGGCTGTGTGTCATTGCACCTCCAGACAAGGTGGCCATGGAGAGAGCATGTTTTCTTGGGAGCCTGGAAAACTTGGTTCCACTGGATGTGAAGGTGAAGGAGAGGCAGGGGAGAGTCTGCTCATGCCCAGTGATAAACTGCCCAAGGGCTCTGCTTACCTGGTTGGCTGGGAACTTTCCTTCTAATTTTCAAAGAAACATTCTAGGACCTAAGAAGGGACGATCTATGCAGAGGCTTTCTGTGGGGTGAGCTGGGCTGTGAACACCATTCCTCAAGGCAGAGGTGTGGAGGTGCTGCCCCTTCTGCCCAGTCTCGTGGGAGTGGGCCTTCAACAGCACCCCTAGGAAGGCTTGATATGCGGAACTGCAGTTATGAGGACACATTGCCTGTAGGCGACACACGAGGAATCCAAAGGCCAGAGGCTGTGCCTCTCAGCCAAAGGCATGGGGGCAGAGAGAGGGAGAGAAGTGCTTTTGTGCTGAGAAGCAGCACAGACTCATCTTTGATAGTGGGTCATTGTCATATGACCTTGGGGACCAGATGAGGCACTTGCAGTAGGACTATCAGCCAGAAGCCTCTGAAAAGGGATCCTGCCCAAGATGGCAGCCTGTGGGAAGAGCAAATCCCCGCAGTGAGAGGCTGTGGGCTGTGCCACTGGAATAGGTGAGGGTTACAAGGAACAGCCTGCTGGAATAGAGGCAGGGCCCCTGGCAAGGCAAGTGGCCACTGAGAGTCAGGGCGGGGATGCGCCAAAAAACTCAGGAAGATTGCTGACGGGTTGTGGGGAGGGCTTTAAACATTAGGCCCACATTTCTTTGAGCTGGCCTCCAACCTGCTCGGCTGTGCTCCATTCACCCTCCTCCCCATCCACGCACAACAACCAGGAGGGGAGGAGGGAGAACGACACTGACCACCCTCCAGTTGTGGAGGGAAGGAGACCACCAGGCTCCAGCCAGGAGAAGGGGAGAAGTGTTATCTTGGAACTAGTATTGAAGGGTGGGTTAATAGACTGAACTGGGCATTACAACTTCCGAGCTGAGACTGTTTTGTGATTTTTAAAGTGTGCCAAGAAGTCCCGGGGATTGCTAAAGTATTCATCTAGTGGATGGGGACTGTGAGAGACACAAAATAAGTAGGTGTTTTAATTACATCTCATAAGTTATGCTAGTTTAATGCTGCAGTTACATCAGTGTCTCATGAGCCACTGAAGAGGATGACGTCCTTTACCCATCCTTCAGCTAACCAGTGGTGGAACCCACACCGGAATCCAGGGCTGTATCACTCCAGTGCAAAGGGCTGGGGAGAAAGAGCAGCCCAGGACCCCTCTGGGGAGGGAGGGGAGCAGGCAGCACTGGAGAAGTCATCCCAGAGCAGTGCTGGGGGCTGGGCCTCCAGCGATGAGTGGGGTTGAGCTGGGCAAGGTGAGGTGCTTGGCAGGGCGGCTGCTCTGGGCCGGGCCCTGGATGGGGCTCGCGGAGACTTTCAGGATCCTTTCTCCCATCCACTCACTCCAAACAGAACCCACCTCTTTCCCCCTGCCCCCTGCCCTCTCCAGGTTTCCTAAGGAAGTAGTGGCAGTTTGGGCATGGCTGCTCCTCTCTGGTTCTATGTCTTCTTCTGACCCTCCTGGTCTAATCTGCATTTTCCCCACCCCCATCTGGAGCCTCATCCCTGACCCAATAACATAGCTTACATTGAATTTAGGCATACTGCACTGGGGTTGGGGTTGAGGTGTGCAGAGAAACCCACTTTTCTCCACCGACACTGCCCTGGGACCCTTCTGTTGTTTTCTTATCTGGACTACTGCACTAGGCTTTTAATCTGTTTCCATTTCTATCTTAGCTCCCATGCCCTTAGCATCTATTCCGCGCCAAGCTCCCAGAGCGATAATTAAAAAATATAAATAAGATGATGTGAATCCCCTGCTTAAAATTTTCCTACTGTGTTCAGACTAAATGTCAAGCTTTTAAATAAGGCCTGAAAGTGTTTACATGACCTGGATCTACCTTCTCCAGAATCCTCTGCCATCACACTCATCACTGTACTCCGGCCACAGTCGCATTCTGCGTTGCTGGGCTTCCCTGGGCTCCCATTGCAATGACTTTCTCTAAGGCATACTCTTCCCTTGCTCTTTGCCTGGCTAGCTCCAGCTTATCTTTCAGGTCCCAATTTAAATATCATTTTCTCAAAAAGGTCTGGACCTCCCATTCTTTCTCATAGTACTTATCTTCAGATTGTTCACTAGTCTATTACGTATTTATTGTTTGTTTAATGTCTCCCTCTTCCCATGATGTACTGCAAGCTCTGTTAGTGTAAAGGTGGAATCTGTTTGGCTCACCACTGTGTCCCCCGAGCCTAGCACTCCACCTGGTATATACTGTGTGCTCAAAATGTGTTGACCGCATGAATGACATACATGGTATGTCTTCTTGGGCACACACTGGCTTCCAAGTGTTTGTCCTCTACGCCGTCAATCCTTGAAGGGTCAGGAGGGCCTACGTGCTGTCTTCTCTAGTTCTCTCAGACCTCAGACCCAAAGATCCAGTGCCCTTGAGAACATGACTACTCTTGGAAAAAGACTTGTGTTGGAGACCCAAGTGCATCCCTGGTGATTATGAGTTGCTAAGATTCACTTTTTTTTTTTTAAAGATTCACTTTCATGCCATTAAAATTGGGTTAAGAATGCCTACCTCATAAGTCTGCTCTGATGATTAAATGGGCGTGAGAGAAAGCAGCGTTGTAGGAGGACAGGGCTTTGTCAGGAGGAGCAGGGCTCTACAGGAGGAGCAGGACTCTATAGGAGGAGTAGGGCTTTCTAACAATGAGGTAAACTTGTGGAAGGAGCCGGGCTTTGTAAGGATGAGCAGGCATCTGTAGGAAGAGCAGGGGTCTGTAGGGAGTGCTACATTAAGAGGAGCAGGGCTTTGTAGGAGTAGGGTTTGTCAGAGGAACAGCACTTTGTAGATTCTGTAGGGCTTTGTAGCAGCAGCGGCAAGGCTTTGTAAGGAGCAATGGGGCTGGGAGGGTGGAGCAGGGCGTGGTAAAAGGAGCAGGGTTTGTAAGGATGAGCAGGGGTTTTCAAGGAGCAGGGCTTTTTAGGAGGAACGGGTTCTTATAGGGAGGAACAGAGCTTTGTAGAGGGAGCAGTGATTTGTAAGGCTGAGCAGGGCTCTACGGGAGGAGCAATACTTTCCTACAGAGCTCTGCTCTTTCTACAGAAGCAGGGCTTTGGTGGGAGAAACGGGGCTTCGTAAGGATAAGGTGGGCTTGTGGAAGGACAGGGGCTTTATAAGGATGAGCAGGGACCTGTAGGAGGGGCAGGGTTTCTCAGAGAAGTACTTTGTAGGGCTGCAGGCTTTGTACGAGGAGCAGGACTTTTGCTGGGTTCAGCTGGTAGTGACTACTACCTATTTGTCCTTCCTGGGCATGATTCTCCATGTGACTGTTAGGGTAGCTGTCCTGGCACCCCACACTCCATGTCAGGGTTGGGGTGCTAAGCAGGGTTCTACATGGCTTCCAGGAAAATATTACCTGCAAATTTCCCAGCCACATAAAAAGCAGAGGCTGACTCCTGAGCTTCTCAGACTCCCAAATCTTTCTAAACTAGTGAAAGGACCAGAGCTGAATCCGTGTTGACAAAATACTTCTAAGACCTGGGGAAACTGTGATGCTCATACTGTTTTCTCTTACTCCTTGGGACATGGCCTCACTAGGTCCTCTAGCCTTCCCTGCAGTTAGGTGAGGCCATGTTCTGGCCAGTGACATGTGATGGAAATAACGTGGGGTACATTTTTCTGCACTTCCCACGCATGGTCCTCCAAGTTCTTTCCCACTCTACAGCGGCCTTGGAGTGAGTGGAGCTAAAAGGTGGAAGAAAGCCAAATCCTGCTCAGAGCAAAGCTGTTGTCCATATCTCCCTAAAGGACTAGGGTATCTAGTCATCTCCATGGTTCCACTAACATAAGGCAAAGCTTCAGGCATCAAGATAACAATGGGGCAGAAAGAGGAATCATCACAATCTACCTGACTTAACTGTCTTGCCTTAGCCTAACTAGAGTTCCTGAGGCAAGTGTACAAGGAAGGTATTTAATAAAACAAAGCTATGTTATCTAACTGGCTGAAGGAAACGGTCTTTATTTCAATCACTTGGGTCTTTCTTTGATCCCTAATTACCTTCAAAAGAATCTTTGGATTTGATTAATCTAACAAAACAAATTCTTCTAGAGTGTGTGTGTGTATACACCTTAAGAATTATTTGAGGAACAGTCTGCCATCTTAAAACTAAACAGCTGAAGAATCTTTAGAAAATGTTTATGATCTCAGTAAAACTTTCCATAGGAGTAGTACTTAAAGGAGACATTTTTAATGGAGGTTGCATCTACAGCTACTAATATTAAAGATGACAAACAACAATAAACTTCAATCAAATTTTTAATAACAAAGATACTATTTTTTAACATGGTCAAATATACTTGGCTAAGTCCAAATTAAAAAAAAAAATGTATCTAGCCCAACAGTACAATCATACAGCTTTGTACACAACATTCCATAGATCAACAGAAAATACATTTGAGCACAAAAATAAAAAATATTTAAAGAGAATCTCTAAGCAGCATTTTATTTCTGCAAAACAGACATATATCTTGTACTGATTAAATATCTACAAGTGCTTCTCCTTTACAAAAATACATATATTCTTAATAGACTAAGTCATTAACAATGACCTGGTAATTCTTTCACTTCAATTTGAATGATTTATAAGCTAAATCTTACAACCACAAAAAGGTTTTTATTTGTATTAAGATGTTACCACTTTTGACAAAAAGCTTAAAATATTTTATATTTCAAAGGAAAATTAGCAACATAACTTTACAATATATTCTATGATAGTTTTATTTATTGTGAGGGCTACTCTATTAAAAACTGATGATCGCTGTTGTGTTGCGCAGATGCAGGAAAGCAGCAGAACACTGGTACTCCCCCCACAAGCTCTTGTCGTGGACCACAGCTTCATAAGGACACTTAGGCCCCCACCCCCATTCTAAAAAATACAGCAAAAAAAACCCCGATCCCAAACAATGTTCGGCTGATCCTTTTACGTTTTTAATGTGTACAACTCCTGCTCCAGTGATTGATGTGAAGTGTGTGGATAAATCAATCTGTTTATTACTTCATTACCCAGAAATACTTCAGCTTCATTTGTACTAGATTAGTTTCTTATTCCATGAAGCTCTTTCAGATGGAAGAAAACTAGACCCAGTATTTAACATATATCTGCTTTACTTGATTCTAGATCTAAAGATAATTAAAATTAACAAGCATTTCTGAGAAATCAGTCTGCTTTGAACCATAGAAAAAGGGGCATAATGAGTATACAGACATTTCAAAAAGCATTTAAAATAATTATTTTTAAGTTTAATTTTATAACTTTCTATACAGAAAGTGCTTCAGCATTTTAATTTTATTTGAAAACATAAGGACAGTAAGTAAACACCACTATATGTGAAAACTGTATTACACTAGGAAGAGAATCACTTTTAAATTATTGGAAAAACAACATTGCTTTATGAAAAATAAAACAATGAAAACCCTGTATTGTATATTTAAGTACATTTTAATGAACTTTCAATCTGATGTATTCCATCAAAATACTACTGAACTAGGTTTATCAAGTAAATCCAGAAAGCTGGTTATTTTGTGCTTTGAAATGGTTTCTGAGTCTCTAGTGTATTTAATATTTTTCAACTGTTTATAAACAAGATCTAGCAGACATACTCCTTACTGCTTCCCAAACTATAGGGATATATATCTTAAAATAATAATAGTATTTCAAGGTATTGTGTGTCTAGTCCAGAAAATTAAAGTTATGGCAAACTCATTCATTTTTGAAATTCCTCCAACCAAACAACACTGTACTGGTACAAATCTTAGCTTGCTGGAAAATTCCTTATGATAAACCAGAGTATGCATCATTTTTATCCTATCCAAGGAGGTTTACCTAGTGACCTATCAGAAAGACTTTATGAGTTTTACCTTTAAAGTGGCCCACAGCACGAATTCCCTAGGAGAAAAGGTATAAGGAGGGTACTGAACTTCCTCTTGATGTACATGCTTGTTCTGTGACCCATTTTGCAAAATCTGGCTATGTGGCTAAATTTTAATAATAATAATAATAATAATCACTGAGAAACAAGACAGAGCTGCTTTTTAAGGAAAAACATAACAAAACAAAAAAAAGGCCCTTATGAAAACTTTGCTTTTTAACATAGAAAAATTACTTACGTAAGTCCAACAGAATATACTATTTTCTATACAAGTAAGCATGTCAATACTTTTGCCAAAGTCTGTCTTTAATAAAATTTCTCATATTACTAAGAACCCAGAATCCAAATAATTGTAATTTTAGTTTATACTGCCTCCATGGAACAAAAAACTTCTCAAATTAAAATTTAAAATCTCAATTTCAATTTTCTTTGCAAAGTATGTATTTCTCTCACTTTTCCATGGAATAAAAAACTTCTCAAATTATAACTTAAAATCTCAATTTCAATTTTCTTTGCAAAGTATGTATTTCTCTCACTTTTCATCCAGAAGGAGGCTATTTGTTGTGTTTCTCTCTTTCTCACCTTTGAGGATTTCCTAAGATCTGTCACATGGTGCTGAAAAACAATGAACATATTTGAAAGGAAGTGTGCTCTGATTATTGCAAGAAAAGCCTGCGTTTGACTCATCTCACCAAGAAAATTCAGTTTAAAGCCTTTCTTTGGTGATATTTCAGCATTAATCAAGGTTATTGCCTGACCATATAAAATTAAATTGCAACCTCCAAATTTCCAACCTCCGAACTGTTAAAACTGTCTCTTCAGCATGGTTATTAATTAACAGTAAAATGTCTTTGGTGATATCTATATTCTTATGAAAATCTTTCAAAAAGAGAGTACTCTAACTTACTAGCGCCTATTTAGATACGAAACCATTCATAAGAGACAGGTACAGATAAATCAAACTTTATGCAGTAAATCTAAAACAGAAATGCACTTTAGCAATGAGGCACTTTCTCTTAAATATTTCAGTAAAGCTAAACAGTTCACAATATTATATAACATACTTATTTTTCCTTAAATAATGTTTAAATTTAGATTACATTTGAGTGTTTAATGTAGTTGAGCAAATTCATTGCATTTATAAAATGTGGCATATCAGAATGGGGTAGATGTTCAGTAAATAAAGAAATAATACACTTTTCTAAAAACAGTTAAAAGACATGATTCATACTGCCCACAGCCTGGACTGAACATTACCTCATCAATGAGCCTCTTAGTTTATGTTTTCATACTTCTTAAAAGTGTATTGTCAATCTAGAGAAAAGGCCATATTTTGATTTCTCTATTAACTGATGTGATTAATTAACATGATGTTTATAAACCACAGGAATTCTTTATACCCAAGGTTTCTTGACCATTTTATATGTATAATTTCTAAGGCAGATAAAACAGATAACAACATCTTTTATAGAATTAAAATTCTTTCAATTTATTGCTTAAAGAGACAACAGAGAGAGAAAAACTTAATTTAGTTTTATGTATTCTCCAATTTTAAAGATTCAGATGATTATTCCTATAGGTTATTTATATAAAGAGTTTGCTTTATAAGCACCCTAAATTTAAAAAAGCTAACCACAAAAGTTGCCTGGACATTTTTTCCATACCTGGTTTCTTTCAAATTCTACAACTGGACTTAGTGGATAATGAACTGGGGATGGGGAGTTAGTGTATTACTAGACACAAAAGTAGTCCCATACTTAGAAAGTCATAGTTAAATACCAAAAGAGGTCAGCTGAAGTCTGCGGTTCTACTAGTAATACCCTTGTCACTTGGGCCATCAAAAAGTGTGTATCTTTCCTTAAATGACAACTGATTCTTTCTTTATGTAAGGTTTTCACATGTTTTGGCACATATTCCATTACATTTCAATAAAAATTCTAATGCATTAGTAGTTAATAAAGGAGTTTTATATAAAACTATTCTCAGTTCTGTAATTGCTTCCTATACATTTCCTTGGAAAATAGTGAAAGTGCATATAATCAGGCAACAGACCAAATTTAAAGAGATCTTGTATATAAAACTCATTTATGGCCATAAGTTTTGGCTGGAGAGTCAAAACATGCAAGTCTTACCTGTGGTTTTTTAGATGTACTCTTACATGTTCATTTTGAATTAAGTTAATTAAGATTAACTTCCATATGTAAAACACTATTTTAATCACTGTCCTAAATGTGACAAGTTTATAATAATTTTTAAAAAGTTCTTAGGGATGTCTGGGAACTGAGTTTCACAGCATAGCAAAATAATTTCCATAGCTAGATAATAAATTCAGTTTTTGGTTGAGTGTAATGGTCTTTTCCAACCATTTAAAGAGTTAATGAAAATCTGCCTTTTAAATTCTGTTTGTGAGCCCTTCCAAGAACAATCTAACAAAATCAAGAAAGTATTGCCATAACCTTTTCCACAAAAGTCAGAAGAACAGAAAAACTTAATATAGATTTTTTGACTTGAAAAAAAAGACATAAGGAAAAGATAATTATGAAGTTTCAAGCCTTTTACACTGTGAAATGAGTCAAGATTTAGCTGTACTCTGTATGTTTCTTAGAGTTGTACAGTCTTATTTCTAAGAAGCATTTTGAAATTCAGAAGGCATTAATTTGTGATCCATTTACTGGAAAATGTAACACATCTACCATGTATACAGTATAAAAACTAAACTATGTGTTTAACACACAGATTGTGCTCATGTCAGATTTCTAAAACAAATATTTTTCCTAACTTTCAAGATGTTTTCCTAAGTTTCAGAGGTTAATTTGTTTCAAAGCAATTAATATAACAATTTCCAAAGAAGTTTTTTGAAAACAACTGTAAGTTTGAAAAGGTTTTAAATGAAGTTTTTCATATAATTTAAGGTAACAAGACTTTCTTTGACTTGCAGACTAATCCCAAAATGAATGGAAAACTTAACAAAACTGCAAAATCAAGGACATTATTATAGTTCTGACTTTAATGAACTCATGTATAAAACAATAATCCCATTTCCCCGATTACTATAGGACCTAAAATATTTTCAAACCATTAATTTTGGTTAGCATATTTATCTTCTACACTGCATTTAGTCTATTTTATGCATATGGAAATGTGATAGGTAACTAACAGTTTTAATCTACAACTGTTTTGAGACTTTTGAAAATCCATAAAATAGCTACTATCTGCTCTAAAAATCCTAATACTTAAAATCATCATAACCTTCTGCATGCCACAATGACATATACCTAAGGCCAACTTAAAAAGAGAAACAATGCACTCATTAAATGACAGCAACAATGTAATGATACATAAATAAAATTGGCTACACAATGAAGTTTCATGGAACAGCACCTGCTTGTCATAAGGCATTATGAAAGATTAACCTTACTTACACATTAATTTTATTAGAAGTAAATGTAATCAGCTGCCAACATTTCAAATGGTTGTGAATCTAACTTCAGTTCTCCAAGAAGTCACATACATTTTCAATCTGGAGGGCTAACATGCCTTCCTTGTGCAATTGGTAGACTACAAAGACAGATGCTTAGAATGTCTACAATTATGATGTGCTCTAATGTTAAAGAATAATTGGAATTCTTTTCAAAAGGACTTGCACACTCAAGAATTAACTGTTTTTTACACAAAAAGTTTACCAAGAACAGGACAGTGGCTCAAAACCACTTTTCTAAATATATTTCCATACAAAATAATTTCAAGATATGATTATTAGTTTCTTGTACAGTACTCTAGTTAAACAAGAATAAAATAAGTGTGAAAATTGCAATACCACAAAAATTGAGCCATTTTACTAGTATAATTAAACATTAGAACAATCTTGAAACAGGCAAGCAAAATATTCAGAAGGCGGAATCATGGCTACACACCTAACTGATTTCAACCATGACTTGCACATTGTGAGACAGCACAAATACCTTATGCAGACAGTTCAGTAGCAGAATGGCACTTGGTTTGCTCTTAATAGAAACAACATGAATGCAACTGACAATTTAGAGACAGAAATGGCCTTATTTGCATGCTGAAAATCTGGTTGTGTCCCTCTAGTCCACATACCGTTCACTGTGCAATCTGTTGACGAGTAAACAAATAGTGCAGGATTCATCTCAGTGAGATCTAGACCCCTTGGTCTAACCAAAATCAATTCTTGGTCGATACTGCAATACCATAGGGTATGACTATAAAATAAAAACAGATCATGAATAAGACTGTTTATATAAAAACAATATAGATAGTTTATATACAAGAGATTTTAAGAATTTGGGGTTATAATTTACAATCTTTCTTGGTACTACTGATTACAACAGTTAAGATTTAAATTAACATTAAAACTCTTTCTTTTGATTGCCATTATTTTTCTAGAATCAGTCAAGTTTTCAATAATATAGAGGAAAGGTCAAGTTCAAAGGCCTATAGACATCATACAGGTTGCATATGTGAATAGTATTAGTGTAAAAGTTAGGAAGAGATAAGACCTGTGGAGGATGAAAGCTACAAGCCCTGCTTACACGTGTTCATAGCTGCTGCTCGGGAGAGCCCAGTAAGTCACAAATTAACAGACACCCTTGCTATGAATCTATGAAACTGGAGTAATTTTCACAAATCATATATACATATCTATATCTATCTATATCTATCTATCTCTATTTTTTTTTACAAGTTTGACACTTTTTAGTATTTAAAATTTATTTTAACAGTCCTTTAAAAATATTGAAAATAAAGTAGCTAATTGTTACATGAAACATTTAGGTCACTGCTTCCTTTCAATAGTCAGTTGATACTACTGAATATTCTGATTTGACCATTACATAATATAGTTGATTAGTTCATACTGTTCTTCAAGTTGCTCTATGTAGAAAAGGTGTCATACAACCAGCTGCCATGCAGTAGTAGAGAGGAAACAGTTTTTTGCCAAAGACACTATCTCTGCATTTGTTTTTACCCTCTTCATATCATAAAGAACCAAAACATCCCAAAGTCATAAAGGGTCTGGAGAATCAATGGTTTTCCTTTTCTTAAAGCTGCAAATTCCCCCCCCCCCTTTTTTTTTTTCCTTTTTGTCTTTTTTCGTGTCCGGCAACGGATCGCAACCCTCAGTGTCGCGCCCGGACCGGACCGGGATCGGCAACGGGATCGGCAACGGGATCGGCAACGGGATCGCAACTCTCAGTGTCGCGCCCGCACCTCGCTCAGCCAGTGAGCGGGAACTGGTCTGTATGTGGGATCCGAACCCTTGGCGGGAGCGCCGCCGCACCCCCAAGCGGTGCACTGTAGCAGTGCGCCACCGGGCCAGCCCGCAAATTCCCCCTTTTAAACTGAAATTTGCCCCAAGCAGTGCACTGTAGCAGTGCGCCACCGGGCCAGCCCGCAAATTCCCCCTTTTAAACTGAAATTTGAGGAATTACTTTTATGGAAACAAGAAAGGACTGAGATGAACATGTTTCTCCATCTTAGTGTAGGTAAATGCAAAAATCCAGTACAGAGAACTTTGTCTTCTTTCACATAGATGAAGAGGGAGAGACTGAGATTCTACAATCCTGAAAATGACCATTTCAGTATTTATCACAGCTATGCGACATACTGAGATGACTCGATGTTAGAGTCTCTTACCACTCAGGTCAGGATAGGACCAGAGGGTAGGAACACAAATGCCCCGTGTCTTGCTCTCCCAGCTGCAGAAGTAAGGTGGATGTCGCCAAACTTTCCAAGGGCTGGAGTAAAAGTCTCAGACAGTCTTTCAGGGTTTCCATGGTCTAAACTATTTGGTATTAATTTTGTTTGTTTTTATTTTAAACTTTATTGAGTTCCCTCTGAATTAGATTATCTAGGAGTGGGGCACAGAAAACTGCATTTTACAAAACTCTCTGGGTGTTTCCGAAGCCTAGTCAGATTCTGAGGCTACCACATAGATATCCTGTCCTAACTTTACTAATTGCCATTCTACCTTCCCCCAACCCACAGCTTGCCCTTCACTATCATCATCTACCTAGCTTTGCTTTCCACTTCTGATTCTGTTGAATTTGCACTTTCTAAAAATAACTGCCACTCATTTTAGAATACATCCATCATATACAGAAGTATCTATCACCAAATCTATTAGAGATAAATTTAGGGAAGTAAAACACCTTGGCTGACATTGGTTGGGATTTTTTCAGTTTTCGGCTGAGAATGGTTTTGTTTTCCCTACCATGTAATGATTTGTGTTTGTTCTATAACAACACATGAAGTTTAATAATTTTATTGAAATATGCCATAACACTGAAAATTGTTAAGATATACCTTAGTTCTGTGTTTCAGTTTGCTTTCTGAAGTAAAATGGCATTGCATTTACAATAATGAAATATGACATATCATTACCTCTTAGTGTTAAGTAACATGGTTGCACTGAACGGACCTATATTTTAGAGTTTCTAGTCCTCAAGTCTCACTATGTAATAAAAACAAAGAATAGATACTTCCAAACTACGCTTTTCAAATGTGAAAATTTTAGAAAATGATAAAACTGTCTTTGATTGACATACTTTTTTTCCTTAAGGAATAAATTCTATTTATCATAAAAGTAACTTGCTTTTATTGCAGATTTGGAAAATATAGAAAAGCACCAAGAAAAAAAAAGGAAAATTACTTAAACTCTACCCTCTGAAGATTACCACCATAATAATTTCAGTGTATATTCTTCTAGTCTTTTTATCTACATTTGTTTTTTTCAAAACTGGAATCACGCTAAACATACTATTTGGTATCACTTAAAAATCTGTCCATTTAAAAATTCCGTAAACATATTTCCACACTACTTAACATAGTCCTAAATGATCATTTTTAAAGGCTGCTATTATAGAAATGATCCATAAATTACCAATAAGTCTCCTTTTTCTATACATCTGAGTTTATTCCAATTTTTTTTTTTTTTGCTATTACAAATTAATCTTGACCCAATGATCTGTTTCTCCCTGTGCCCCCCTCATGGGTTCCTAAAAGTGAAACTGCTGGTTCAAACTGTGTACGCATTTAAAATGGCTTTTTGATAAATACTGAGAGAAAGTTGTTCTGTTTTTACATTTCCAAAAGAAATATGAGCACCCATTTCTCCACAGTCTGTCAATAATGAGTACTATCCCTTCCCCCTCTTAATTTGGCAATTTGATATGCATAAAATAGTATTTCATTTCTTGACTTAGAAGTTAATTGTTTTCGGGCCGAGCCCGTGGCGCACTCAGGATAGTGCGGTGCTGGGAGTGCAGCAGCGCTCCCGCCGCGGGTTCGGATCCTATATGGTCACCGCTCACTGGCTGAGCACGGTGCAGCCGGTCTCACAAAAAAAAAAAAAAAGAAGTTAATTGTTTTCATATGCTTATTAGCCAATTGTGTTTCCTTCTTTTGTAACTTGCCTGATCATGCCCTTTGCTCATTTTTCTATGAAAAGTTGGGCTTTTTCTTATGAAATTTACATACTTTTTTTTTTGGTAGTTGGGTTAGTCAGTCTGGGGATCCGAACCCTTGACTTTGGTGTTATAACATTGCAATCTAACAACTGAGTTAATTGGCCAACCCTAAATTCTTTTTTTTTTTTTTCCCTTTTTGTCTTTTTTACTGACCGGTAATGGGATCGCAACCCCCCTTTTTGTCTTTTTTACTGACCCGTAATGGGATCGCAACCCTCGGTGTTGCGCCTGCACCGCGCTCAGCCAGTGAGCGGGAACCGGTCTCCACATGGGATCCGAACCCTCAGTGGGAGCGCCGCAGCGCTCCCAAGCGGCGCACTCTCTAGTGTGCCACCGGGCCGCCTAAATTCTTTATAACACTTAAAACATTAAACTTTTCTCTGTCATATATTGCAACTATTTCTTTGGTTATGATACTTTTGTCATGTACTTTTCAATATCAATAGTCAACTCAATTCGTTTGTTTTAAACAGGTACAATGTGAAATGCCATACCCACTCTCTGAGATCAGTTATTCAACTATATTAACTTAATCTTTTATGTTATCATTTTTAATACTACCATTAAGCCATCAGAAACCTATATTGGTTTACAATTTGGGGAGTGGATTGAAGACCCCTCCAACCCCACAACAGTCTCAGTACAATTAATCGAAAAAAGTTCTACTAGATCTTCACCCCACCCCCACACTTACATTTCTGAGTTCACTATTAGCAACTACCCTCTTCTGTACTATTTCTGCTCCAGCCCCACTGGCCTCCTTGCAATTCTCAAACAACCAGACATAATCACCTCTCAGGGACTTTGCAGTGTGTTCCTTCAGCCCTGAGTGCTCTACTCCAGATATACACAGGGCTACTTATTTCACCTCCTTTCAATCAAACATCACCACCTCAGAGGCCTATCCCTTAGCTATCTGACCAAAAATATCCTATTTTTCTACTTTAATCTTTCTTCTAACACTATAAATTGTACTTGTTTACTTTTCATCTGTTACCATCATAAGAATGTAAGTTCCTTGAGAGAAAAGATTTTTGTTCATTTTTACTTTTGTATCTCCAGGGACCGCCTAGAAGAGTGCCCAGAGCAAAACAAGTGCTCAGTAGATAGCTGGTAAATGAATCTTTTTTCTCTATTAATTTGAAATACTCTTTTTATAAACTCATACAAACTAGTCTGTTCCTCAGCTACTCTTTTTATTCATGTGTCTGTGTTTAAGATATACCTATGTTAATTACTTCAGCTTTATTTTTATTTTTATTTTTTTTTTTGTCTTTTGTCTGTGTCCGGCAACGGATCGCAACCCTCAGTGTTGCCCCCGTACCGGACCGGGGACTGGCAACGGGATCGCAAGCCTCGGTGTTGCTCCCGCGCCTCGCTCAGCCAGTGAGCGGGAGCCGGTCTGTATGTGGGATCCGAACCCTCGGACGGGAGCGCCGCCGCGCTTCCCAAGCGGTGCACTATCCAGTGCGCCACTGGGCCGGCCCTACTTCAGCTTTAAAATACATTTTAGTATGTGGCAATGCACTTGCCCCCAATTACTCATTTTAAAAATGTAACTGACCAGAAGCACCTGTCTATATTTCCTGACAAACTTTAGAATGACTGACTTTGTCAAGTTAAACTTGAATCTGGTAAAAGCGTCTTTGGAATTACATCTAACTTCATAATTTAATTGTAGATAGAACTGACATCTCTATAATATTTAACATACTATTTAAATTGATTGTGTATGAAATGGAATTTTAGATATATGTGAGACAGTCTTAGTATATATATTTATACGCTGAAGTATTTACTGGTCAACTGTCCTGATACCTGTAATTTACTTTCAAATGATTGCACCAAAAAAAAAAAAAAAGTGTGTATGTGTGTGTGTGTGTGTGCATATATATAGAGAGAGAGAGATTAGTAAGTTAAGGAGATGGGAAGAGTAAGAAAGGGGAAGAGCGAGCAGAAAATGTAGTAAAATTTTAATTGGTGAGTCTAGGTAAAGAATATTCCCTTATGTAATTATTTTAACTTTTTTGTTTAAAAAAAAAAAAAAAAAAGGACTACTACTCAGCCATAAAAAAGAATGAAATTCTACCATTTGTAGCAACATGGATAAGCCTGGAGAAAATTATTCTAAGTGAAACAACCCAGTTACAGAAAGAGAAATACTGCATGTTCTCACTCATAACCATGAACTGAATCCATAAACAAATGAACAATAAAGAGAGACAGAGAGAAAGAAAGAAAGAAACAACAATCACAGTAATACATTGTAGTTTTGGAAAACTAGAGGTGGAAAAGGGGAGGGAAGAGTAGCTAATAAGTAACTGGTCAACGGGCACAAAGAATGATTGCGTACTGGAATGATGAATAAGCTAATAACTATACTGATCTAAACACCACACACTGTACACAATTACTGAAAACCAATGTTGTACCCCACATGTATGTATTAAAAAAAATTCCACTTGATACACACACACACACACACACACACACACACAAATTTAATGAAATGCTTTTTCAGCATCTACTGATGATTTTTGACTTAGTGTACATATGTATAAAATGTTTATTTTATATATATTTAAATCTATCCCCCCAATATTAAGCCATTCTTGCATTTCTGATAAAAAATACGATTAGGTTTTAATTTATTATTCTTTTAGTATATTAGTATATTATCTATCAGCTTAGTATTTAAATTCAAAACGAGATTTGGTACTAGTTCTCTAATTGCACACTGTCAGTTTTTGCTATCATGGCTATGTTACCTTTGTGAAATGAATTTGGAAGAATTCCATCTTTTTCAGTGATTTAAAACAATACATACAGCATGGGAATGATCTATTCCTTGAAAATTTGAGAGGTGACCATAAAACTATTTAGGTGTCCTCTGAAGGAAGTCAGGGGTACATCCTATTAACTCAAAGTTCAATTTTCTTACAGGACTATAATCCATAAGGAAGTGTTGAAAAAAGGAAAAGAAATTTGTATGGACTTGGAATTTGGTCTTATTCCAGCTGTTTGTTCTCTGATACTTTGGATCATGGCTTAAGAACATCTTCATTTCTAGGAAAATAAATAGACATTAATACCAAGAGTACAGCAGAAAGCCACGTACGTATGGGTTACAGCTACAGGCAAGGGTATCGCTATGCTTCATCATCCCAATCAACTATGGAGCTAAAAAAGCAGCTGAGACATCCATATACTCCAGATATACACACATCTCACCAGCTCAATTAAATTATTTAACCACCCTTCACTCTCATCTGTAGAATATAAAGAGAAGGATGATTTTTCTCCTAAATGATTTTCTCTTGCCCTTTATAGATGTTAAACTTTGCTTATTCCATTGCTGTAAAACTAGAACGTAAACCATGTGTATCAAAAAGCACACATTTTGGGCCGGCCCGGTGGCGCACTGGATAGGGCGCCGCTTGGGAAGCGCGGCGGCTCTCCCACCCGAGGGTTCGGATCCCACATACAGAC